CGCTGGTGACGCTGGTGAAGCTAGATCGATATGCATCCTCTCTTCGGCACTGCCGCTGGCGTACGCTGGAAGCGCTACGCTACGCTGCGCTACGCTACGCTACGCTGCCGCAAAGTATAAACGCAGCCTTAAGTCGTTGAAGGACCAGTCCCCGAATATTGGAGAGGTGGAGGAAGAGATGTACACTTACTATCATTGTGCTAGCTCATTGGAGCACCCCTTTTCTGAAGAGTTACGCCACATCAATGGGAAATGCGCAATGATTATGAATAGCTGCCCATTTCTCCGCCCATCCAGTTATCGCGGAATGTGTCTCCATGGTCGTGAATAGAACTCTCTGTTGGTGATGCTCCCTCCGCTTGCTTGCAACCTTATTCATACCTTCACATAAGAGGAAGAAGAAAGTAATAAATAAATAGACAACTGAGTAATCAGAAACCATCGCTACCCATCCACACGTAAATGCTTGGGCGAAAGTAATGTGGCATTAAGCGACACCCCTGTACGATCTAAGAGATCGAATAGCACCCTGGCTAGCCAAGAGACTACCAAGGTAAAAAGACTTGTGCAGAGGATACTTTGCCCCTCGCTTCCCTCATGTCCTTGTTTGAGTGGGATTTGTGGCGATATTTATCCATTGCAACTTGTCGAAGTCTCCTCAGCCTAGATTTCCAAAGAAGTATGTCTCCGGGGTAGATCTGACTACAGCTATGATCCCTGCAAACGAGAGGGCGTGTAACGGGGCGTGGTTTGGAGCGCAGCCACTCGCTAAAATCGGTCTTAAAAGCTGTCCTGGCTTCAGCCTACACCTAGTCGCAGATCCTGTTGTTGGGAGATAGCCGCAAGTATTCTCGCGCCAATCGAATGGGATACTTGTGTTCACAAAGCTATTGGAGAGGAAAATTCTCACCAAATCTCTCCACACAAGAAGTTTTAAAGAAAAACCGTGACCAAATATGAATAAATAGGATACCAAATCGTATATAATGCAGCTTATCTGTTAGCTCAACAAAATATTCATATGTATGTATGTTCATATGTAAAATATGTAGCGTATTCCAGTGCCAAATATCCACCAAATGCCCTCAGAAGTTCCCACCTGACATTTCAGACTGGCATCAGCAGTTGAATCGAACAACATTGTCTACTTTACACGTGCGCCTTCCACAACTGCACCACTGACTGTTGAATGGGTTACGAGTCCACGTTCGTGGCGTCCACCACCGGACCCAAACGCGAACCAGCCTGAATGGGTCGAAACTACAGTAAGCGTTTACAAAACACGTCTTAATGTTGTTCTATAGATCGAGCAACCCAAATCACGAGCACTGATCGATTCCTACCTTTTCAGACAACCGAATCGCCATCGAGAGTGATCAACGGGTGTGAAATAAGCGATGACTGCCATTTCAGCTACGAGCAAGACCTTCTCTGTGCTCATCCTAGGTGAGAAACAGCATTGTGAGCTACAGCGTCTGTTATAACGAAAACTCATCTCCACCATGCCTTCCTCATGTGACCTCTCTTGTTCACTATATTAGGAGGATGGACTCATCACTGAGGAAGTCACTATAACTTATGAGTCTACGCCCATTCGATTATCGCAGAATGGGCCTTCTGTGAAGTGTTCTAGAGCTTAGGGAGGAAAAAAAACACGGAAATAATGATAGAGAGAATTATCACAAGAATGCTGAGCAGGAAAGTCGTACGGGTCGGTAGAGGGAGGAGTTGTATTTGCTTTCGGAAATATTTTCTTTCGTTGACTTCAAGTGCAAAATATATTTCCCCCACGCATCCCCCAGCTCGACAGCGTTTTTTTTGGGAAAGGAAGGAGTGGAGGAACTTTCGGAAAAAACTCCGGAGAGCGAAATTCGAAAGGGAAGGGCTGTCGCATTTCGCAACGCTTTTCAGAGAGGAGGACATGCCCTGACACTGAGTTATGGGCAAAAGTCTCTACCCTAGGCGGAACTCGAACCAGCGCCCCACGCGTGGGGGTACGTTATGCCAATGCGCTAACCGTTACGACATCGGGATCACCTCTTATCCTCTCAGCTCAGTGGCTTCTGTGGGTGCTATAAGGTTATGGCACAAAAGCCATTGAGCTGAGAGGGTATGAGGATGTCTTGGCAGTGTAACGGATAGTGCACCCCCCTTCCCTCTCCCGAATGCGCGAGTTCGAGTTTCGTCTGGGGTCGAAACTACTACTCACAACTCAATCCACCGAATAGCACTCCCGTTAACTGCGAATTTCAATCCATCAAGGTGGCAGCGTAGGATTTCCATCACCGTTAAAACACGGCTGCTCCTTGAAATCATCCCAAAATTTAGTACAAACTTTTACTGAAATTAGCCCTTTATTTTTTAGAACGTGGGCTACGGTAATATCCAGCAGCTACCACTATGAAACAATTTCTTACTCACCACTGCTATTTCAGCGATCCTTCACGATACCTTCAATGCACGCCGATGATTGGAAGGCGAGGCCGTTGGATCGAGAGAAATTGTCCGCCATCGTTAATTTTCATTCAATCCTATGCAGCCTGTGGAAGGGATGTAGTAAGTTTTAGAACATCGATAATACCATCATTACTTTGTATTGAATTTTGGATGCTGTTCAACTTGGAGGGGGCCGCTTGCACTTTTGTTGGTTCCTTCTGTTAGTTCGTGCGTTGGATAACGAGTTTCATTTGGGGAGACCTGTGTTCGGACTATTGTGAAGATTTGGACTCTTGCGAAGCTGCGAAGTGATAGGAATGGGTCACTTTGTTAACAGGAGTTCACAAGTCCTCACAAAATGGCCTGTTAAAACACAGCCACATACTATTCAGTATCCCCCACCCCAAGCCGAAGTGCGCCAAATTCCAGAAGGACCATGCAATATCGTGGGGGGGGGGGGGGGGGGGGGGGGGGGGGGGGGGGGGGGGGGGGGGGGGGGGGGGGGGGGGGGGGGGGGGGGGGGGGGGGGGGGGGGGGGGGGGGGGGGGGGGGGGGGGGGGGGGGGGGGGGGGGGGGGGGGGGGGGGGGGGGGGGGGGGGGGGGGGGGGGGGGGGGGGGGGGGGGGGGGGGGGGGGGGGGGGGGGGGGGGGGGGGGGGGGGGGGGGGGGGGGGGGGGGGGGGGGGGGGGGGGGGGGGGGGGGGGGGGGGGGGGGGGGGGGGGGGGGGGGGGGGGGGGGGGGGGGGGGGGGGGGGGGGGGGGGGGGGGGGGGGGGGGGGGGGGGGGGGGGGGGGGGGGGGGGGGGGGGGGGGGGGGGGGGGGGGGGGGGGGGGGGGGGGGGGGGGGGTATGGGGTATGTATTCGACCTTCTCTAAAAGAAGCACAAGATCATATTGTTATAAGGTGTCTTTCGCAGTTGTCTATACACAATTTTCAGGTGGATGTTTCCACACACCCTTACGAATGGCGGAACACAGCCGTGATACCACGCTTGCCATCCGAAAATGAGATCGTTCGATGGCAAGGGAATAGGTGAGAGTTTTGCTAGTCATAGTTATCAGCCGTGCCTCCAGGCTGTCCCTTATTTTGGTGAAATGGCATGTCGCATAAACGATGTCAGGACCTTCTTACAAATAGATCCTACCTATATATAAACGGCGACGTCTGTCTGTCTGTCTGTCTGTCTGTCTGTCTGTCTGTCTGTCTGTCTGTCTGTCTGTCTGTCTGTCTGTCTGTTTGTCTGTCTGTCCGGAAATTCGGAACTACCTGAAGAGCCAGTCTCAGGGGGCGGGTCAAGGTTGGGATGGGTAGGGCATGGGCCAAGATGTACGAAACACACGTGAACTAGGCTAAGCCCCGCCCACTGTGGGCGGCGCGTGCGCATAGTTGTGAGCTTCATATTTCAAAAATTCGTAGTTCGGTTCCAAAAAAGCCCCGAGAGCGGAGAAAAGTGGCAAACGATAGGCAATTAGTTCGTGGACGAAATGACTGAAACAAACCCATTTTGGGCGGGGCGTTCTACAGATGGGCGGTGCTTGCTTCGAGATTTTCAAAAATTCTTTTCCCAGTTCAGCGTTCCAAAGAGCCCCGAGAGCGGAAAAAGTGGCAAACGATAGGCAATCAGTTCGCGGACGAAATGACTGAAACAAACCCATTCTGTGCAGGGCGTTCTCTAGGTAAGCGGTGCCTGCTACGAAACTTTCAAAAATTCGTAGTTGGGTTCCAAAAAAGCTCGGAGAGTGGGAGAAGTGGCAAACGATAGGCAATCAGTTGGCGGACGGAATTAATGAAGCACACCCGTGATGGGCGGAGCGTTCGCCGAAGTGGACGATGCCGAGGACGAAAACCCTCGAAACGCATCCGAAAAAACCCCACGAAATGGGGAGTGAGCTGAAACTAAACAGTGGTATGGCAGATGAACATAGTGAGGGGATAATCGTAGGGAGTATCCAAATGGTTGGTACCGTCGGCAATAGTTTGCAGTGCCGCATAGAAAATTTTGATGGCTGTCTACTAGGGGGGGGGGGGGGGGGGGGGGGGGTATATACTAGAAGTGAAACGGTAAAGTGCGGTAATTCTCAAAATAATATTTCTTTCGACCATTCGTCCGACTGGCCCTCCCTCACATGGAAAACTTCTCACAGGGACCCACTTCACACGCGGAAGGAGGATCGGCCGGCGAAGCCGGCCGATCCGACTGGCCCTCCCTCACATGGAAAACTTCTCACAGGGACCCACTTCACACGCGGAAGGAGGATCGGGCGAAGCCGGCCGATCCGACTGGTATACACCTATACACAATAGGCACTCGTCATGTGATGAAATGGGGGTCACTACGACCCCACCCCTCGGAGGAGGGTCTCGGATGTGACCCCCCCTTCCCCAAGGAAATACCTTACCATATTCATACAACGTTTCACAGCTTTTTTTCCAGCTTCAACTCCAAAAAAACAATTTTCCGCTGAAGCCGGTGGGGGCGGGGGAGAGAAAGGTAGCAGTACATGGTGATAACGGTGGAAAGGTTCTTAGATTCTCTTAAACTTCTAACTACTTTTTCCGGAGATTCCTGAAAATCCTATTACTCCCTAAAAATTTTGCTTCGAGCGGGGAAGGAGGGGGGGGGGTAATAGCCTGTGAAACGGAAAAAACCGGCGAATAGTCACTTACTTGGCAAAGACGTCCGCAATGAGGCAATTTTCTCCCAACATCACGTACGAGCCCGCCCCCCCTTCCCTTCCCAGCGGCCAATCGACTCCCCCCCCCCCTCCAATGTGTTTCACACAACAATGCTCTAGCGTTAACTATACAGGGGGGGGCAAAAAAAAAGACATTCCGACCGAGTCACATATCGGCAAAGTTTTCGCAGCCCAGACAGAGGACGTGGGTACGAGTACCAGGGCGGAAGATACCCAAGATGTTCCTCTATAAGCAGGAGCTGGCGCTCGCCCATCACCTTCATGTACACAAAAACGTAATTGAATTCATCTGCAGCCGCAACCGGACTCGGAGAAGACCTTTGGATTCACCTTCAACAGCTGCTCAAAACTTCCAGTATGGATCACCCATGCGATAGCTACTGGGAAGAGCATGTACTCTCGATCTGGGAAACCTCCATCATCGAGCAGCTCCGTCAACGTCGCTACGGTCTAGGACATCATCTTCACCTCAGTCGCCAAGGCGCCAGTTGAGGATGTGGCATCTGCCAGGCCGAGAGGGTAACCTGGAATGGAGAGACCGATATTTTCTTCGTGGGCCCCGGACTAAGGTGAGCGCTGGCGGTTACATTGGGCAACTCGTGAAGAATATCCTCCTCACATGTGGTCGCCCGTACCTTCTTGGAAACTTTGTACTGCTACAGCATTGAGTGCCACCACATGAAATCGAAGGGCGTTGGAGAAACTCTTGCCTACTTGTAATGGAAGGGCGTTGAGTACCTGAAGAAGGTGGAATATCTAAGCAGGTAACCTGACCTAAACCCCTTCAATTACCTGGTTCGGGCGGAGTTCAATAGGGTGGTCTACAGTGGCGGAGAAATCAACGATCTCGCTGAACTCAGGCACCCACTCACGGTCGCGTGGCAGAATCTCTCGATGGCGCTCCTCCAGAAGGCTGTGGGGCATGCGCAGTGTCATGCAGTAGGTATTTGATGGGCTCACTACGGTGGACGAGCACGTACCGATAAATTTGATAAAGTGTAAAACTGTATGCAGCCACTCCGAAGTCGAGGAGAAAGGAAGTCTTTTTTTTTGCCCGCCCCCCTCGTACATATTAACTCATGTTTCTCGTTCTTTTTTGCCCGTATACGATTTTTTTTTCATAGAGCTACCGAGCGCAACCTGTGGACAGTTGCGCCACATCAAATCTATGTAACACCACCACCGAATACAATTTACGAAACCATCGAGTCATTCCCTCAAGACCTTCTTCAGCACAATCAGAACACGATTTCTCCCTCCGATACACTATGAGGACCCAAATGTGAGGTGACTGTTATCGAGTTATGACTGGTACTAAAATTCGTCGATCTACCTTTTCCATTCCAAGGCACGACTTCATGGGGGGGAGGGGCATGTTTTACTGCGTTCCATCGGCGTAGTGTGATGCCTTCTTTCGAGACCTGTAAATTACGGTTGCACTTTAGGGAACTTTCAGACTTCGCGATGAGGCTTATCGACGCGCTACAACTGCAACAGCGTTCCAATCCCATAGGCAGCGTTTGGACTTCGCGACGGCAGCGCTTCGGTTGTACGTTCGACGCCATTAATGCATTTGAAAGCGGATGGCGCCATCCGATCACGTCGACAAGCGCGACTGATGCGCTGCCGTCGCGAAGTCTGAACGCTGCATAGACGCGAACGCAATCGCAGACGGGTATCGATCAGTGCCGGCCGTTAGTATTTTGAGAGAGTATAGAATAAGAGGAGAACAGGCGCTGCCCCAACACAACAGGTGCTCTCCAGTTCTTCTATAATCTTACAAAGCTCTAGGGGCCAGTGGAGATACCAACAGCGTGATTAGGCAGCGCATACTTTCCTTTTCCCCATAGCCTCTCGAAACACAAGCGGTCGGCGCCGATCGATTCTCGTCTGCGCCGACGCGCCTCCTCGCGACGTCTGAAAGCTACTTGTGAGGGACAGGAGATCATCACCAGACAAGATTAATGCAGCAAGTGGCGCAGCGCGCGCTATACATGCACCGGTGCCAAAACGACGGCGAACCATTGTGCGGTTGGTCGGTGGTCTAGATGCTGCGCGCCGTCGCCTCGCAGACCTCTTGACCCGCACTCACTAAGTTGGACAGCCTCTCGAAGACTGCTCCCTACTCCTGAGGTCGCCGCTCTAGAGCCAACTTCTTTTTTCCAAGCGTGGAAATTGAATTAAATAGAGCTTTCTGAACTCCAGAACATATTTTTTCCTTTTCAGTTTATTGACATGGCTCCGCCTGAGATCGATCCACCATTCCCACGCGTTCAACCATACTTTCTTTTGCCATTTGCTAAACAACGTGATGACTCCACAGAAGGCGATTTCATGACTGGATTCATCAAACCAGTTATCAAAAAGGTAACCCTGCCTGAATTCTGCAGATTTAAAGGCAGCGCCCACGTTCATTTGATGTAGCCTCTCTGGATATCATAGCCCTCCCTATGAAGGATGCAGTATGTACTAGTTTTGCATCTCAAAAAGGCGAGAGGATAGCGCCGTTCGCTAGTGAAGAGTCGGCCGCCCCGCCCACCTGGCCAGCATAGGTTCTATATAGGGCATTTTCCATGATTTTTTTCTGCTTTTTTCTTCACTACTGGATCACGTATTATATGAGCTCCATAACTCATTATTCTTGAAAGCGGCTCAGCCTTTGAAGGCTAAGCCAAAGCAGTTGTGGCAGCCAGGTGGACGGAGCGGCGGCATCCTGTTCGCAAGCGGGTGGCCCCATCCTCATCGTATTTTTGAG